CTGCTAAATAAAATGGATTTGTTCACAGCGCCCGAAGCTCAAAATCCAGGGTTGAGTTTCGGCAAACATTTATCTAGTGCCCCCTAATGGCAGTGTCCAGTTCTAGAGGCTGAAGGAGTGAAACGAAAAATAAAATAAAGATCTTTCCCCAAATGAGCATAGAATCTGGTGAGAAAAGCATAAAGTGGCACAGGTAAACGTAATGCCAAGTTTTAAATTGTTTAATTGTTGAGTTGTGTAAAGGGAAGTAGAATGCCACAGAGGAAGGAGCACCTACTATTTAATAAGTGCCTATGGGTCGTGGGGAGATTTGCTGGTTTTTCTGTGGGGTGAACTTGAAAGAGGTGCTGTGCCAGTCACCTGCCTGTGTGCTCTCAAGTCTACTCCCTACTCCTCCCTGCTCTGCTTTGTATTTCAGTAAACTACATTTCCCAGGCTCTACTGACTCTGGCTTGCATCTGAGTTTGGTCACTGAGAAGTACTGGCCAGAGGTGGAAGGGCCAGAGCAAGGGAAAGGCAAGGTCCCTTTCTGTCTCCTCAGCTTGGAGAGCATTGTAGCTATGTCCTGTGTGTCTCCTCTGTGTCTCCAACAACTGCCAGACGTGTCCTCTGAGACTTCAGCTTCAATCTGGTGGTCTTGGATCCTGGGCTCTGGGAATCCTTGTTCCTTCCAGCCCAGGGAAGGTAGAGGCTAAACTTGAGGTTGCCTCACCTTCCCTATTTGGCATCTTGGCTCTTCAGTTACTCAAGTAAGAAATTCCCCGAATTAAACCCTCTCTGTCTGAAATCTCTAGCGATGATTTCTGTTTGACCGCCTGTACCCTCAGTGACACGGGAGACAAACTGCATCTGATGGAGAAAAAGGCGGCACAGGCTGTGGCTAGGAAAAGAATGAAGGGTTGGAAGGCAGTTTTAGCCTGTGGGAAAGGAAAAGTTAAAAGCCACCTAAAAACAACAGGAATTCTCATTCATGCTGAGCCTCGCAGTTTTGAGGATGGGTAAGGAAGGCTCGGAGCCAGCACAAATGCGTCAACCAAATATAAGGGCAAAACAATACCCAAGAAGAGATGGCTCTTACATAGGCAAGCCACAAAGCTGGAAAGATTTGGATCCAGTCCACCTCTTTATTTTCTGCCAAGTTTAAATCAACTGTTTGGAACTCTGACTCATGTTCTCAGAGTGCCAAAGCTGGGAGGTGTCTTCTTCCTTCAAATTATATGCATGAGGACACTTAAGCTTTTGTAAGTTAAAGTGCTTTACTCAAGGTCACACAGCTGGCATAGCCATAAGGAGAACTCCATTCTGTTAATTTCAAGTTCAAAGCCAATTTTACACTGTCCTTCAAACCTTTACTATTCCTCACATTTCAGTCCATTTTATGCAGGTTTGGTCCTTCAGTAACTTCAGGATTGTGAACTAATTTTAAACTGACAGTAATGTGCACATTACTTATTTCAAAGTAAATAGTTTGGAGTGATTTGTAAATAGAATAAAGAACAAACATTATATAGTCAACTGAAATGCAGGTAGAATTCAGGTAGTAGAATATATTCTACTTTGTCAGCAAACAAAAACAAAAACAAACAAACAAACAAACAAAAAACCTTCCAACCTGCAGTGTTTACTATATTTTCATACAATTATTCTTCATTAAGTCCTATAGAGGCATCACTTCTATATAAGGACTGAACGTTAAGGTTTAGGGTAAAATAAACACCTTGAAGCCAAGACTTTAGAGACATTATCTGTTTAATAAATATGATTGTAAAAGCAATAAACAAGAGCAATTATACATTACACTACATAGTATTCAACAAAAAAATACATCAAAAAAGTCATTTTAAAATTAGAAGTAGTTCCGATACTATAAGAAAATTTTCTTTTCTTTTTTTTTTCTTTTTTTTTTTAAATTGGCTTCCTATAAAAATAAGTTGGCAAATGAGGGATTTCAGTTGGAATCCTGGAAAACACAGAACAGCTGCCAAGTACCCCATTGCTCTCAAAGTTGCTGTTTGGAACTTCCGGGAAAAAAAAGCAAAGCAAACCTCTGCATTTTGGACAGTGAATTCAGTTAGGAATAAGGCAAAAGAGAAAATGTTGGTTGGGTAGTTCAGGGTAGAGCATGCCTTCTGGGAACATGGAAAATGTTGCAATTATCAGATTTTTAGCTTGCCCTGAATCTTACCTTCTACATCCCTCCCTCCCAACTCATCCCTCTGGCCACAAGTCCACCAAACTCTGCATTGTGTCTGCACCTGCTGTTAGCGAGTAGGTAGGCACTTGGGTCCCTCCCATTTGGTGGCTCTCATTACTGCCTTCTTTTTGGGACTGAGCTGGAATGGTCTAGTACAGTGGTTCCCAAAGTTTAGTATATATCACAGTCACTTGAGGGGCTTGTAAAAACACGGCTTGCTGGACCCTACCCCTAGAAATTCTGATTCAGTAGGTCTGGGGTGGGGACCCCAAACTGGCATTTCTAACAAATCTGAGGTTATGCTGATACTGCTGGTCCAGGTAGCACACTTTGAGAACGACAGAGCTAGATCATAAGAACAGTGAGGTCCCCTCTGAGCAGTACCTCACTAATCTCCTACAGGTGGAAGGGAGCTTAGAGGAGAGGTACATGGGGACCCTGGAGATGCTGAATCTAGAGCTGACCATCTTAGGTCACTTTTCCAAAATGCCAGGCATCCCCTCTCCACCTCTATTTTCAGTTAGGACTCACAAGCCCCTTTTTCCCTAAGTCTTCTCATGTGGTCATTCACCTATTCCTTCAACAAATAATTTTCTTCATACCTATTCTAGGCAAGGCACTGTGCTAGATTAAGAGTATTATTCCCTTTTGCATAATTTTCTAATTAAAAAGAACTGAACTGCAACTCTGAGGACTCCCTGTGTTATTTCGAGTGAGCCTCTTTTGGTTTCCAAACGCTTTGTCTTCCAGATTAAATTTGGGAGGCTCCAGCTGAAGAGGATCAATGAGAACATTTCCTGTGGGATAGGAAGCCTGGCGGGTTGGGGATCAATTGAATTCTACAAGTAGATGGCTGCCTCGGGCATAATCCATTTCTCAGATTCATAGCGGCCGTCTTTGACCATGAAAACTTCTGACTCATTAACTTCTGACTTCTACTTTGCTACATTTCTCCTGCCTGGGCTCCCAAGGGCAAGGATCCTCAGGATATTTAGGACACCCCAAACCCCATTACATCCCCAGAGCCATGTTATACCCTGTTGTTGGCTTGAGGATATGACCAAGAAGGAGACTGTGCTCTCTGAGTGGTTTTTCAAAACTGTTTTTGCTTATATTTTAGAGTGGGCTTTGCCTAATCCATAATATTCCAAGGGCTTCTGCTGGACAAACTTTTGCTTCCTTCTTTCTCTGAGTCTTCTTTCATGATTGCCCTGGGAAAAACTGGAGTTTTTTTCATGCTTTGAGCCAATCTGCTTTAGTTAGTCTACTAAGTCCTCCCCTTCATGCTTAGTTTTGCCTTTGCTGGTATTATGATACTGAGAGATCAGAGGGCACACATGTGGAATGCCTGGGATCATTCTACAAAATCAAAATCTCATCCTAATATAAGACAAGACCTCTGTATATTCTCAGACCTTTTGACACTCTTAAACATTAAATCCATTAACCTGCTTCTTCTTCTGGTTAAAATGGTTTTTATTTTACAAATATTTTTACTCTACTGTGAAAGAGGAAATACTGGGTACAGCAACCATCACAGGAATCAATTCCTGCCCATAGTAACATATTCAAAACATTTCTAACAAGAATCTTCTAGAATCTGACTGTATGAGGTTTTTGTTAAGGTGTGAGGATACTGCTATTCATCGGAATGCTTTCTTTTCCAGTGCACATGGCGAGATCTGAATATCAGCTCATTCACACACATGGCATGTTTCCAGGTGGGAAAAGACAAGGATATTTGGAAGAGGCGTGTTCTACAGGAGGAGACAAAGGGTACATGAAGCTGAATCCTTCAGGGCAGGATGCAGCTTGGCCATTGTGTACAGAAGCTGGCATGCTTGGGAGTGTACAAAACAGACAAAGATCAGAAACTTGTAGGTGGTGGAGATAGGATTGGCGGAGGCTAGGCCAGTATTTAGGGAATGTCAGGGTTAATGTACAGAATCTAGCAACATGTTCGGGGGAAAAAAAGGTAGGAACAGTTGAAGGGTAACTTCGGGATTAGAAGGAAGAGATACAAAGACATTGGCAGATCATGACCACACATGGAAAGCAAACAAATGGAAAGGTAAGACACTGGGTAACTGGGATTCTATTTTCTACGTAAGTTGAGGCAGAAGTAGGAAAATTTTTAAGGGGAAGCAGTCATAATTGGAAGGGGTGAACAGGAAACACAGGTTCACTTCTGACATGCTTGCCCCTATGACCCCCAACCTGCCTGCCTTCCCTGCTCTGCCTGCATATACAGAACTTTGACTGGCTTCTTTGTCCCTGTGGCCACACAGAACGCAAAAAGCAGCCTGGTAGCCACCATTGGCCAACAGAGCTACCAGATAACTTGGAAGGGAAAATGGCAATAAGGAAGATGGAACAGAGAAACAGCTCAGGGTTTCGAACTCCTGTGTATGTCTTTGTGTCTTGTGAAAGAGGCTGGGGTGGCTAATCCACCCATCAGCAAATAGTGCTAAAATAGCTGTTAAATCTAGAGCCAAGAATATTTCCAAAAATACATGCAGATTTCCTTGGCCTATATGTGTTATGAATTTTCTACAAACACGACCGATCAGAAAAAAGAGAGAGAAGAAAAGAGGAGGGCCGGGAGTGTTTTCCCATTAAAATAGAGCACCTGTATACTGCCCCTCCGAGCATGTTCTCAAGGTATAGTCCACATGCACAGGCTTAAAGCTAAAAACCCTTGTTGTCTGTGTCTGAAGAATTAAAAAGTCCCGATGCAGTGAGTGTTTGTTTGTTTGTTTGTTTGAATTTTGATTGCTTTTATTTTATTTTTGTTTGTTTGTTTTTGTTTTTACTGGCGTCCTCCATTCAAACATTTACATAGGTAGGGATTTCTTTTGTGCTTTGATTCTCAGCAACTATGGAAATACTTTCTGGCAAAATAGGAAACAGAACAACAAAGGAAAGAAAGAAAACATAAAGTTAGTGGTCATGAAGGATGATGCACTTGACAAGAGCGAAATTCTTTCCTGATCAGCAGGTCGCCTGTAGCCTTTGGGGATTTTCCTTAAATTGCAAATTGTGCCCCAGCAGATCCCCGCTTTGGCGTTGAAGGTGGAGTGGCGTGTCTTGCTCTTTGCAATCGGAGAGATGAGTCACCAGGTTGAGCAGAAGGGGAGGGAGGGGAGGGTAAAGCTACTCTCCTAAGAGAAAACGTGTAACACTTACTCATTTAATGACATTGGAAATGGAAAGGTGTCAGAGACTGCAATGCGCTGCAAGACGTTCCTGGCAGAGGAGGGATTGCTACTTTAATAACGTAAACAGCGGCTGTGCTTCATACCCCGTGGAAACGGGATTGAAAAGCAAATGACCCACGAAAATGCACTTAGAGGCTTTAGCGGTGAATAGACAGGGTGAATGCTTCTCTGGACTTGAAGACAGAAAAGCCCTTTTGTTTTTAACCCAAAGCAATTATGCATTTATCACCCTGTCTCCCCAAATCAAAGAAAGCACACTGAAAACTGGAGACCACATGTGGCTGCAGTGGTTATTATCACCTCCGATAAAAGCCAGTCATTGCATTTAAATTTCCCCTTAATACAACCACAAAACTTTCCCATATCCATTTAAAGAGAAGGTCGTGTTTTCGTTTAGGTACTCATTTTTTTTTTCCCAAGTAACAATCTTATAAAGGCCTTCTAGGTGGTTTGGCATCATCACATTAGAGTGAAGCATGAATGGTTATATAGTAATTTATCCATCGTAGTCAGCAATGCAGGATCTAGATGGGAACATTTACAGCTTCAACTCCTGATGCCAACAGACAGGAGGAAACAAGAAGAGAAATGGATCACAATGGTGGCTTCATGGGTTTGTCTAACTTCCTGGAAAATTTTCTCTGTGATAAATAGTAGGACTTAGCAATCACACCTGAGACTTTCTAGTCCTAGCTGTTGGATTCTCATGCCTACTTCACGGGCACAGATTAAGCTCTATTGAAGTACAGTGCAGTTCATTTTAAGAATTCTGGTAAGGGACAAATACAGAGAAGGAAGAAATCTGCCAATCTGCTCTGTAACAGCCTAACCCTCCAGTGGTCTCACTCAGGAAGCCCCACTCCCGGGATAGTCTACAAACTTGATGCCTCTTGTCCTAAAAATTCTCAAATTCTGTTTTCTGGGGATGATTGTTAGATTATTGCTAGATTAAAAAAATAAAAAATCTCAGGGTGATCAGTCTGTCACTCCTCTCCTAGCCTCATTATGTCACCTTGCGAGTGTTCTGGAGCAGTGTTCCCTCCTTAAAGCTGTATCAGGGTGAGGCTGCCATGTCTTTTCCGGTCATTACACACCCTGTCCCTCAAACCCTGCCTGGCCCTCCAGGCCAGCAGATCCAGGCTCTTTGCCCATGAACACTTGAAGCCCCATATTTTAGCAAGGGTTTTTGCGAAAAGAGGAAGAAACTCGTGAGAGAAAAAATACTAGACAGGAGCAAAAAGGCTTTTTTTTTTTCTCCTCATTCCAGTGGAAGGAAGCAAGGAAAGAGTCATCTTAGCTGTTTCTCTCAGGGATGTTAGAGCAGAAAGCAGTGGTTATGTCAAGGCAGAAAGGGGTTAGAGACAGAGTCAGCCAGTGACTACGCAGGCTGAACAGCTGACAGCTACTGGGAATCATTTACCTATGAGCTGTGATTCCACCTTCTCATCTATCAGCTGGCCAGGCCTCCTTAGTTCAGTCTGAGGGATATGGGGCCTGTTTTCAGTGTGACTGACTTGACTGACCATCTCTCGTTCTTTCTCATTCTGCATCTGGGCATAAACATTAATCCCCGGGATCTTCCTAAAACATTAACAGAAACCATCACTGCTATGCATGGGAGATGTACATCACTCTGATGCATGCTTCTGAACCTGTCATGGAGAAGGAAGAGGGAGAGGAGACATGGATGGAGGGACACATACCTTTTGAACTTGTAGATGACGAACACTGCCAGCCCCACAAACACCACAGAGAGCAGCATCAGCATGGCAGATCCACTGTGGGTTGGAGTCAAGTCCACCAATGGGGCTAGGGGAGAAAGCAAGGCATGGTCATGAGCAGTGATGTGGAATGGTGTGACTCGGTGAGAGACTCACACTGTTCATGTAGAGCCATGGTAAGTCCCAGCAAACTGCATGGGACCTACATACAAGATACAAGCCACACAGCTGACATGTTGGATGTATCTGAGCCTTTCCCAGCCACCAGAATGCTCCAGCTGGCCTGTCCAAGAAGCACAGTGGAGCCAGGCTGCTTGGATTCAAGGTTGCCTCTGCCACATGCTGGCCGTTTGATTTTAGACAAGATACTTCATTTGGTGAGATGAGAGTAACATTGCATATCTCATTAGGTTTTTGTGAGCATCGAATGAGTTAATGAAGGTAAATCACTGATAACAGTGCTAGGCACATATTAACAGTTCTATAAATAGCTATTATTGCTATTGCTGCTGCTATTATTCTTAATCAATATTTATAATAATATCATTATTAAATTTTTCTATACTCTGAATGCAAGCTTTCTCCCCTAAGCAATTACAGAGAACCAGAAAAACCACCGAAGGAACATTTTTACAAATTTTCCATTTCTCTCACTCCTATCTCAGTCATTGTCATGGAGAGAAAGAACTGAAGAGTAATGGAGCATGCTGATGTTTTTACACGTAAAATGCTGATGGCTGAGTGAATATTTCACAATCAGGTGCTGTCTCCACAGCTTCCCGAAGCCCTGACAGCTCATGCCAGGAAGCACCGGCCTCTCAGGTGAATGGAGTTCACTTCTCAGGCTATACAGATGCCTCTGCATCAGTAAAAGGATCTCCCTCCCTGAGTCTGCCCTGAGATCGCAGCTCTGGGGAACATCTTTTTCCACCTCCAAACCTCTTCCACCTCAAGGTCAAACTTGTTGTACTTTTGTAATTTTGTTTGTAATTAATTTTCACCCTCTCAAAAACCGACATTTTGCGAAAATAGCAGAGTTCAAGCTTAGAAGACAAACCACACGTACCCCTTAGAAGTCTAAATGCTGGCCTTTACCTTCCATCCATTTAAGCAAAGCCTGACACCCATACATGTGGGTGACCTTTAAGCACCATTTTCTACAGCTTTTCTGTGTTGACAGTCAAGAGGGCAACGTTCTGGTCACCCAGGTGCAAAAGTTCAAGAGCAAGTGACTGCAATACTGATGGTATCAGACAAGACACGAGGCTGCTTCTGCTCCATTTGATAAGCATAGGCTCGCATCCCAGCCACTCAGTCACCACTGCGCTCTGAAAATATATTCCATATACTAAGCTGTTTTGGTGAAACACAAAGTTAAGCCCTCTTTCTCGGAAATAGGCTTAGTTGTTTTAGTAGAATTAGCTTTTAGGAAGCACTAAAACTAAGTACCCATGCGATTCTCTCTCCGCCGTAAGTCAAGCAGCATGTAAGCCACAAAGTTTGAGTGTGTGCGTCTGTGTGTGAAAAAGTGGAAGCAGTGTCACTGTGGTGGAACCCCCAAGGCACATGTGCTTCGAGCTCAAAATCGGAAAATAGAGGTCTTCTTTACTTAGGCAAATGCAGTTTCATCGGCAAAGGAGTCCAGAAATACTTCGGAACTCACACCACAGCTGGTCAGATGTCATTGGGGAAGAGAACACCTCCATTTGTCATGAGCATTATCACAACTGATTTTCACAAATAGAAAGCAGAGACTATGGTCTCCATTGAACAGATAAGAAAGAACAATGAGTTTCCCTTCCCATTGGTTAATGTTGTTCCAAAGGACTCAGAACTAATGGAATAGCTAAGACTTGAACTCAAGTCATATCACGCACAAACACTTTTATGTACTCAACCCTGGGCTAACCAGTGGGAGATATCAGAAATTTTAAAAGATATTTCTGAGGAGGGGGATTAAGGCAAAAACTATAGCACAAGAAGCAAATTAACAAGTGACACAAGTTAAAATATTGTTTTAAAACCATAGATCAAACACTCTTCAACTTGGATGACATGCATATATACATATATGTGTATGTATGTATGTATACATGCATGATATGTGTACATAGAGAAATGAAGCCTCACATACCAACCACTCGGCTTCCACAGTCAATAATTGATAGAAAATATTATTTTATTTCTACCTGCATCCAGTCCTCAAACCCTCAACCACTGAATTATTTCAAAGCAAAGCTCAGCTATCATATAAATTCATCTGTGATTCTTAAAAGATAAGGTCTCTTGTTTTCTCTCTCAACATCACAATACAATGATTTCACTTAAGGAAATAATAATAGGAAGATATTTTAAAGGTAATCTTCTAATGCAAACCCTTATCCAGGAACAAATGAAGGTCCAGAGAGGAGCCACAGATGGTTAGGATGGTTAGAGGCAGGTTAGCTTTCTTGCTAAACCTCTAACTCCTAGATGAACGCTCTCTTAGAATAAGCAGACTATCAGTGTCAGGGAGCACCCAGGAAGAATAACAAGCCTGCTTGAAAGGGTTGGCATTTGAAATAAATGGAAAACTAAAGACAGGAAATTGCATTGGCCAGGCTCTCTCTAAGACAGAAAGCAAACACACACACACACACACACACACACACACACACACACACACACACGGACTCTATTTCCCTTCTCTTCCCTTCTTCCTCATCTCCCTCTCCCCATCACAAGCTTAAATCTTCCAATTTGAAATCCTTCTCACTCAAATTCTCATCTGTAAACAAGCAGCCTTAACACTGTTTAGTAATTTGCATATTATTTTGGGAAAATGAGCTTCTGTATCCTGAGTTCTAACATGTGTGCTATCCGCTTCTCCTCCCCATCTCTGTATCACTTCATCACTTCTCAGAGGCAGGCAGGCAGGCAGGAAGTGGCAGGCAACAGCAGTAAGAGATCGAATACCACTACCCTCTGTGTTCCCTGGGTGGCTTCTGCTTGCTGATCTGTGCCTGAATATAAACGAGCCATTATTGCTCCACACAACAGCAGCTGCGTATCTTAGTTTGCCCAACACTTAGGTGGTTTTGTGTGTTTTGCTGAGGAATGGAAACTTGTGATAAATGGGCTTTAGCCTGTGGAATTAGCATAAATTAATCCCTCTCCAATTGCAGCCTAAACAAGGTAGAACCTAGGGTAAAGTGCTCAGCAGTTTATTTTCCATTGTTCAGGCACAGAGGAAAGCATGGACACATCAGCACTGCAAGTGACTCAACGTTTCTCAGTCTGGGTCTGGCACACATCGTTTCCAAAATCCTGCAAGGAACTCCGAAATGCATTGAATTATTATATTCTATTCATGAGGACTTAGGTTGATAATAATAACAGCCATGCTTACAGTAACAACAGTAGTCTTCCTATGAAAGTAAGTGCTAAATAAATGGTCATGTATTAAGCATATAAAAGCAATGCTAAAACTCCACTTTTAGGGTGAAGTAATTGATATGGTCTCTTTTTGGAATCAGAGTCTGACTCGGCCACTTACGGGCTAAGTAACTTAAACTGAACCTCAGTTTCCTCACCCGCATAATGGAGATAAAACTCGTGTTTACTTTAGAAAGTTGCGAGAATAAAACAAAATAGAAGTTTTAAAGTGCTGGCATATGCCCGCTACATGCCCAATACTTTACATACTGCTGTATTATTGCTATCATATATCTGAAAGTATATTCTACAGAAAACGAGTCCTGAAATATGATGAAAAAGTTCCAAGGGCAAATAATTTTGGCATTCCCCATCTTGGAGATTCATGGTAATCGTCAGTGTATTATATTAAAAGTTCACAGCAGTCCTGCAAGAACAAAACTCATTTAACTTGAGCATAGAGTTTCACAAACTCGACAGGACACAAACCCTTTGCAGACCTAGCTTCCATACAACACACTTTGGGAAATGCCTTACCCCGCATATCACGTTTCCCTTTGCTGCAGACTTACCTCTTTGTTTATTTCAAAATTTTAAAGTCAATACTATGTTGGCATCACCTGGTAAAGCCATGCAAAATACCCTCGCTGCTGCCCACACTCACTTTCATTCTATCAAAGGGTCTTTCTTGGAGGATAGCTACCTGCACTGACCCTGAAACTTTGAACTCTTACTGTATTTTTATTCCAGAAGTTAGTGCTATCAGAAAGTTGCAAACGTAATTTCACCATACCTTGATTTCCCTTTTTCCTCTCTTTCCTCCAAAGAGACCCAAGCCGGCAATTTAGTTACGTGCTTTGAATATCACAAAATCCACATAGTCTCAAATTTCTTTTTCAGAAATTAAGGTGATATGGGAATGGCACAGCAAAAGTTTATGCAGAGTGCAGAAAGGTTTTCATGTAGAGAGTACCCTAACTTGACCAATAGGCCTCTGTCTAGTTCAAATTCAACTCAATCAGAAGAGTCTTAAGGATGGCCATCCACTACTGAGATAAAGCTGTGATGCTGGAGGCCAGGCTGAATGGAAAGTCTCAGAAAAGGCTCTAATGACTAAGTGCTGCAAATTTTAAACTTAGGATGAGCCCTCAGGAACATCTAGTCACCAAAAGGTCATTTGGCCAACTAATGACAACCATGGGTACCTCAAAGACCAAACTTATCATCATAATTGATAGATAGGAAGAGAGGATGCCTTTTGGATTTCTAGGGTTGAAAGTCAAGGAAGAATACTACTTATTATGTAGAATATTTCTCAGAGTGTAGCTTACAAACTACCTGAATCAGAATCACCTGGAGAACTTGTGAAAATGCAGTTTCCAAAGCTTTGTTTGAGACAGAATATGCCAGTTTCAGAGAGTAAGTCCCAGAATACATAAAAAGCTACACAGGACATTAGTATGCATACTAATTTGAGAGTACTGCATGGTAGGTCCCACCTACTGTTGCTCATAAAACATCCAGTCCTTATCTTTAGAGTGTGCCTGATCTTTATATTCTCTGGGTCACTAAAACAAAACAAAATAATAATAGAAAAAACATACTTTAAAAAAAATTACTAATAGTGGCTCAATCTCTTTATGGATTAACTGCATTGTTAGATCAATTCTCTAC